CCATCTTGAAGCTCTCCAAGCATAGGTTGCAGAACAACTGGAAGGAATGCTCTGGAGAAGATTCAAACAGTGGAAAAGGAATAGCAACATGTGTCCCTTCAGACTTCAAATTCTCACCAGTTATAGGTGTGGCCACTTAGAGGAAAAACATCACCAACCATCGTCCAAAGATCCTGAGTGTATAACACAGACACTCACTTTATGAAAGGGCTTCTTTGAATAAATAACTAAAGTATATGTTAAATGTTTGTTTACAAGGTATTAACTATCTAACCAAAAATAAAGAGGCAGGGAAGAAACAGGGAGCTTCGAGGCAATGCTGAAGAAACCACTGCCAAATGGAGTCCAATCATCAGTGAAGAGTTACTGTTGGAAAGAACGAAGCCAAAGAGTCCATTTATCACAATGTTCCTCAAAGGCATCTACTCTTTTATGATAGATTATTAAAATATATGGATTTCATAAAAGTCAGGGAGTTTGGGAAACTTGTTGCCTCACATTAAATCAGAGGCTCCGTCCTCTCAATCCTCCAGCTACTGTCAGCCGATAGACTAAACCTGTGAGTCTTTCAGAGAGAGCAAACTCAGCCGAGGTTGAGGATTATCTTTCAACATATTACAAGGGAAAAAAAACAACAATTCTGTTGAACTGGTAATAATTCAGATTACCACCTACTCCTCGTTCAGAGCAATAATGGACTTTAACCAGCTTTCTGTTTCATAAATATTCCCAGGGCTCAACACTTTCTGAGGAGACACAACATTACCCATGGCGCTCATCCTGTTTTCCAAGTACTCACAACAACCTGAACCAGCTTAACGCTGTACAGAAACACAGCTGATTTAGCAACCTGTAAATGACACATGTACATAAGTTTGTACCCAACTGTGTCACGTTTCACTCCTGCTAACATGCATGGGTTCTTAACTGGCACCTACAATTGTTTGATAGAGGTTTACGAACACTAAAACATATGTTCTGCCTAGAATGGGACCATTTGGGGTACTATTTTTGTAGTTTCCTGGCACTGAGGTCTGACAGCCTTCCTAAGACAGATCTATTTGCTTCAGCGAGCATTCTGATAGTAAGTGCTACAGATTTAAGCAACCATCAAAAAATATTCTGGAATAACACTTTTCAAACATGAATATCAAGAGTAACAGGCTGGCTTTGCCTATTGGCCATGAAGTCAGTATAAGAATCTGAAATGATGATTATCAAAGTCAAATCCAATCCGGGGTGCAAATTATGCCCTCTGACTACTTACAGCTAAGCAAAAAAAAAAAAAAAAAAAAAAAAACCCAGGTAATTTCTTTCAAATAGCTTCAGGATATATAAAAAAAAATTAAACTAGATTTAAGTCCCACCAAGACCAGGAATCTTTTAAACTTTTTTTAGAAATAAAATATCAGATCTAAATAAGAGTTGCAGCCAGGAAACACTGTGGAATTGGAGTGGGGTCCTTGGACCCAGACTCACTAGAATGTAACTTCCTAAAGGTAAAGAGGATCTCCTGCTTTCTACTATATCCCCAGCATTCAATAAATATGCTCAATAAATCTTTGTTGAATGAAAAAACCAGTAACAACAACTGTTGTCTAGTCCCTGAGCTGCCTCTTACTAACTAAATGTAAGTAAATGACTTAACCTGAAGATTCATAATCCCTGAAATTCTAAAATGGAGACACTGCACCTCCTTTGCTGGCTTATGAGAATCAAAGGTGATATTCCATGGAAAGTGACTTAATACTCTACAAAAGGCATACAGACAAGTGCTGTTACCCCATCTGTGACTCCAACTAAACCACTGACAAAGGTGAAAATACTGCCCTTCCTTGAAACAGAATTAGCTTGTCCCTTGCCCTATGATTCTGCTTGGATGTGGCAGCAAGGCTGTTAGCCAAAATGGATGCTGTTCTTGTTGTTGTAACATTTTATTTGATCTCCACTGGGAAATTGTGCTTCTCTAGAGAAAATAATGGTAATACAAGGAAGGTCACTTCAAGGTATACTATAAGAAGCATGACACTGGGGTCAAAGGGCTTAGGGGTTCATCAGTTCTGCCCTTAAATCTTTGAGAAAATTAACTTGCTTTCATTTCTTCATTTATACTGTGTTAGGGAAGGAGAGGTAGACGACAAAGCATCTAAGGCCTGTCTCAGTTCTATGATTTTCCAGATACCAGATATTCAAATACCCCAGAACAAAGCCAGTTCTATTATCCATTAGCACATAATGAGAGATTTTTTAAAGGATGCTGAAAACAGTTCTACAAGCTAAGTCACAATGGCTGGAGAAACAATGATGCTATAAGAAAGATGAATGATTCCTTCTGAAGAGCTGCCTCAGGCGCTGTCTGCCTGCCACTTCCAATAAGTCACTTAACATTCCTGGGACTCAGTGTTTTGATCTGTAAAAGAGGAACAATACTGCATAGGACCACTGGGAGAAAATACTTAAGAAAATGATCAAAAAGTATTGTTATTTTAAGGTAAACGCTATTTAAACACTTTCATGCCCCCCCCAAAAAAGGGCTGGTGGATTCTAGAAGGAGACAATCAATATTTTTAAATAGATTTTTTCCATCACAGTAACATAACATGATGCTTGTAGATATTGTGATAGTTCCAAGAGTACAGATTGTTTTTCCTATTTGGGCTCAGGAAATACAAAGACAAGGGGTCACTAAAAACTGAAATCTCACAACCTTGAAACAGTCGATCATTTTAAATGTTCATCCTTCTCTCCTCCCAAGATGTTTGGTTTTGTTGTTGATGTTGTTTTGGTTGGTTAGTTAACTGAAGTCAAGTTGTTGAAATTGGAGCTGAAATTAAAGCACCAGTGCTAACAATGTTGCCTGCTACTTATTCTTTTAACATTCCATGTCTGCTTACAGAGGGAAGGAAGCTCCAAGAAGACCAACCAAATCAGAAGGTATTCTGCCTTCTCAGTTCCAGGAGTCTTTGTAATTGTGTCAGCTCCAGAATTCGTATCTTTTTTTTTTTTTAATCCTTTTTTACTGTGGTTATTAGCTCCATGATTCTTCATTTCCAGGTACAAGCCTAAGGAACCTTGTGATTGTCACATTTAAGATTCTCTTACTACTCTCTTCACTCAAAAACATGATAAGGTATACATTAGATACAGTCTTCCCTCATATTTAAAGGACACTACCTCTTCACCAAAAAAAATGCAGTTGTCATTGCTACTTATGAGAAAGTTGATGCCACTGTCAATGGGATCCTCAAACAACAAGAATCCCTCGATAACCCACAACAGGCCAATAACAACAGCAATCACAGAAAATTAACTCTTAAATAGCGATTTTACTTAAAAAGCCATGATCACCTGCAGCTTTTTCACCAAGAGTTTATCGTGGCTGTTCACGTAGTAATTAACATTCTCTTCTCTCCTCCGGTAATGGCTGGGACTGTTTAAAAGCCACCTGAGGTTGAGGAAGCCCTTGGAAGGAAAAGGGCTTCCCTTGTGGCTCAGCTGGTAAAGAATCCGCTTGCAATGTGGGAGACCTGGGTTCGATCCCTGGGTTGGGAAGATCCCCTGGAGAAGGGAAAGGCTACCCACTCCAGTATTCTGGCCTGGAGAATTCCATAGACTGTATAGATCACGGGGTAGCAAAGAGTCAGACAGGACTGAGCGACTTTCACTTTCACTTTGAAAGGCAAGGTGATTGACCAGAAATTCTTCAAGAGGCACATTTCTACAAAGTGCCTGAATAATACATGATGATTTGCTATCCTAGTTGATAGGTTATTTACTAGAAGATAAATTTAAATCTGTTTTTAATTACAAAGAGTATTTTCTAGTAACATAAGTCACTTTCATGCCCTTCCCCTGAATCCCAAACTAAATCCTAATAGAAGTGCAGAGTTTTAACACAGTCTCCTTCAGACTCGGCAACAGTGATATTTATACATGTTAAAAACCCATTTCCTGAGCTGGCTCTTCACCTCCTCCCAACAGAATGGCATCTGACTCTGGAAGGAGATGGGGACCAGGAGCCTGTACAGAACATCTCTAGGCTTGTCCTCTGTCATTTTAGCCTGTTTGATGAACGGCTGTGCACTGCATCTTCCAACTGCTGAGCTCTTCCAACTGCTCTGTAAGCGCTTTACCCTGGAAGCTCTGCTGTGAGTACTAAAGGCGTTTGAAATGATTGCATTCTATCCCTGCTCCTAGGACTTCCCAACACCTCATGCCATCTCAATGCCACTGGGAAAGAGAGGGGCTGGAGCTCTGGTTTATCGAGCAATGGATACAGTCACAGTTAGGGTGAGTTTGAGAATGTACAGGGGAGCAAGAGTTATAAAACACAGCTGTGGTTTGGAAGAGAGGAACGATGACAGGTCTGTACCTGCGCCCCTCCACTTTGCACTCGAGTTCAGGAAACTCTGCCTTTCGTGAGCCTTAACTTCGAAGGGTGTGGGTGGGTGAGGAGGTGGAATCCGGCGGCCTGCAGCACGTCCCTAGGTTCCCACGTCCCTACCCCTCGGACTTTTCAGGTGCCTGGGTGGGAGGTGGAAGCAGCCGCATCCTCCCATCCCTCGGGGCCGGGACTCGGAGGTGCCGGTCCCTCCTGGGGGAGGCGGCGCCGTGGGCAGCGGCCAGAGAACCTGGAGAGCCTTAACGGAGGGGCGAGCAGTACCGGAGGGGAAGGCGCTGCCGTTCTTGCCGCGACCAGCTTCCCATCACTTTTCCCGGGACTTTGCTCATCAGCTGGTACACTCCCTGGAGAGGAGACCAAGAAGGTGCGCGGAAGGTCCCCAAAAGCGACCCCAGGAGAGCGCTCCTCTTAGGATGGGGACCCGTTAGACCCTCCCCGCTCTACCCACCCTTCCCAGCCCCCGGGAGTCAGCCCCACGCCGCGGCTCCCAGCAGAGCCCCGGGGTTCTGCTGCATCTGCTGGCGCCGAGCGGCGGGAGGCGTCTGCAATAAAGGCACGGATAAAAAGCCGGGGTGTCAAATCCGAATGCACCTCTTACCATTGGACCGCCGGACAATGTTCTCCAGAAATGTGTTTTGCGGGGCCACCAGTCCCTTCCTGCCCCCAGCCATGGTCATCCTCCCGGCAGGTCGGGGTCTTGGGGGGCGTCCCGGCGCGGCGACTCACGGCAGCAGCAAGCTGGGCGCGGGGCCCGCGAGCGATCCCGGCTGGAAGCGCCCCATGCGCCCCACGGGGACCCGGGCGGGCAGGGGCGGCGGCGGCTCCCTCCGGCTGCCACCCTCGCGCCCTCTTCGCGCCTGCCTCCCCGCGGCCCGCCTCGCAGTGTACTCGCGCGGGGCTCGCCGCGCCGCAGCCGCCTCCGGGTGGGCGGGGGGGGGGGGGTGGGGTGGGGGGGGAGCCGCCGCAACCGGGCCCGCGGCGCCCCCTACCGGGCGCGTGTCCTCCGCCGGCCTGCGGGAGGCCGAGCGGGGCGCTCCCGCAGCTGCCGGGAAGCCGAGCGCCGCGGCGGGCCAAGGCTGGACCGGCAGCGCCGCGCTCTGGGCACAGCCGGGAAACGTGCACAGGGCGCGCCTTGGGTTGGGTGGCGAGGGGGGTGTTGGAGCTGCTGTCTCTCGGCGGGTTCACTCCCTACGAGGTCGCAGGAAGTCTTGGAGGAACGAGACACTGTACCTCTCCTCCCGTGCTCCGTTCCAGGCCGGAACCCTTGGGACTTCTAAAGCTCTTGAAGCCCCTTCCTGCTGGCCCTCTAGGGTCTCCTAGCCTCATTGTGAAAGTTGCCCCACCTGCATTCTGAAGCCAGTGTTCGACCATTCATTAATGAGGTACCTAGCGGGTCAGGCTTGCAGAGTGACTAACTGGTTGGACTCCAGAAGAGCTGTCTTGGGTTGTTTTTAAAGATAACCCAGAGTCAAAAAACGCACGCTCCAGACATTTGACAAGTTTGAGGGCTGTCTCGATTTCCAATCTTATCCAGTGAGTATTTTAGCAAAGACCAAGAAAATACATGTATATATACAGAAAGGTTTTTTGTTTGTTTGTTAGCAGAATCACAGCCTGTTATGATCTGTGTGTAAGATTAGGAAACAAACCAGCTGTCTGACAAACATCTAAACAGGTGGGATGGGGCTTGTCCCTGAGGGCAAATGCTTGGGGGTTGGGGTTGGGGTGGGAAGCTTCTCCAGACATTTGACATCAATTAAAAACCACAGAGGTGAGGGTGGGATGTTTCGAGAGAACAGCATCGAAACATGTGTATTATCTATGGTGAAACAGATCACCAGCCCAGGTTGGATGCATGAGACAAGTGCTCGGGCCTGGTGCACTGGGAAGACCCAGAGGGATCTGGTAGAGAGGGAGGGGAGAGGGGGGAGCGGGATGGGGAATACATGTAAATCCATGGCTGATTCATGTCAATGTATGACAAAACCCACTACAATATTGTAAAGTAATTAGCCTCCAACTAATAAAAATAAATGAAAAAAAAAAAAAAAAAACCACAGAGGACTTCCCAGGTGGTGCTAGCAGTAAAGAACCCGACTGCCAGTGCAGGAGACATGGGTTTGATCCCCCGGCAGGGAAGATCCCCTGGAGGAGGGCATGGCAACCCACTCCAGTATTCTTGCCTGGAGAATCCCATGGACAGAGGAGCCTGGTGGGCTACAGTCCATGGGGTCGCAAAGAGTCGAACACTATTAAATGACTTAGCACACAAAAACGCAAAAACCACAGCCTTGACAGGCACACACTGGTATATTTAAAATGGATAGCCCACAAGGACCTACTGTACAGCACAGGGAACTCTGATGGGTGTTATGTGGCACACCAAATGGGAGGGGAATTTGGGGGAGAATGGATACATGTATATGTATGGCTGAGGCCCTCAGCTGTCCACCTGGAACCAGCACAACATTGTTAATTAGGCATACTCCAATACAAAATTAAAAGTTCAATAAAAATAAATTAATTTTTAAAAAGTGCAGCCTTAACTTGATGGACGGGCCACCCTGTTCAGGATGCTGTGTTGGTCCTCACACCTGCCTCCTGGTATAAGAAGAATTACATCAACTCAAGATTTCTGGGCAGGAGCTCAGACTGTTTGGGGAGATTTTTACCTGCACATGGGCTTTATCTGTTCTTTCACTGTATGCCCCCAGAGGGTGTATGACCAGAGACTAAGGAACTGCCCCACAAAAAGAATGAGTTGATCATTTCCTAGTCAGTTCCATGCTGGGACAAGCAACAGTTGACGCAAGGATGTAAGAGGCAAGATACTGACTGCGCAACCTCAGCTGTCCAGGTTAACCATCCTGACAATCCTAATGTTTGTAGATACCTTCTCAGTTTATTCATCTCTCAAATACAGAGATTGTCCAGCAATCTCAGAGATGCCTTGAAGAGCAAACGTAATTGATTAGGGGAGAGCCCCCTCAATTGCAGAGTATTATACCATGGTCAGACGTCATCATTACAGTGACCAGATAAATCGGGCCATTACAGACATCACCCTGTCTCGCCTTGTGGAGACACAAAGTGAACGGTAGCTGTTTGCAGAGTTAGGGAAGGCTTGCGCGGGCTTTTGAAACCAGTAATGGTATACTTCTTCCACAAGGTAACATTCTACCAGGCACATCCATCACCCAGCTCAGAGCAGTGATTTCTTCAACCCTAGCTCCATCTAGTGGTTCTTTGCTCTATTACAAATGAGATAACAAGCAGTGTGGATGAGAACTTGGAGATGTTATTGATGCTGAGCTGGTTCGGAAGTGTCTGCCTACTTCATTTGAATCAATTCATTTGAATAAGGCTCTTAAGGTTATGTGATCTACTGTAGGCCCAAGGGGAGATTTTTCATGATGATATTAAATCTGTCGAGCAACCTCATAATCCTGCTTGTGAAAGGAAGATAAAGAAAAGAATGGGTGGAACGGGGGAGCTATCAGAGAGAGTTAATAAAATTTCTCGGATTTTAATGAGCTCTCATGTTCCAGGGCTCGGGTATAAAGGAAACAGATGATATTCATTTGACGTGAGAGATGTTAAAGCCGTGGCAGGTTACCTGATAAGAAAAAGGGGCAAAGAGATACCTTCCATTTTTAATTTCAAGTGTGCTACTACTGTGGTTCTCGGCACACACTGTGTGTATGTGTGTTGGCACCAATTTGAATACTGTCATTTTTAGTGGCACCCTTGAAGAGATTAAAAGACCCCAAACATCACGTAAACAGTCAGAAATCTTTAACCACTATATCTACTCAGTGTGAGAGTATCTCATGGCATCTCCAAAAAAACACATCCTCTGTCCCGCTCCCCACCCCATCCCCTTGGCCGGCCCTCAGCACTGTCTGACTGTGGGAGTGAAGCTGTGTCCTGCCTTGGCCAGGTTCTCTTTGCTACGCGCAGGCCTAGGTTGCGTGTGTGCAGTAAACACACCATCTTTGTCTGGACTGGCTAGACAGTGCAGCGTATTATGCTCCTTACCTCTTACTTCCCACCTTTTGTTTCCTACTCTGGATTCACCTCCAGGAGCTGCTCAGCTTAAAGTTCTGTCTGAGATCTAGCACTCTAATGTAGGAAAGTCAGCTGGAACAAACTTGAATCTTACAAATTTGTCAAAACTCCTAACACCTTTGTAAGAGAGTCACAGTACAGCAATGTGCCTCTGTATTTTTATATAACAGGCAAAGCCACTTTTTATTCAAAGGAATAACTTTAAATAACTGGGGCTAGAGTTCCAATTAGACTGCCTCTGTCCCTCTCTGCAGGAAGTGGGCTACCTCTGTCTAGAATGTCTACCAAGAACAATACAGAGTCCGAAATGAAAACTTTTAAAATTTTACACCACTGTCTTAACCAGTGTCTCAGTGGTCTTCTTTTCCTATGCCCTCAGTATTGTGGTTACTCCTGGATTATAACATGTGGTTTGTCTGTATCATACAATAGATGGCGAGCTTAAACACAGATGAACTTCACCAATCTTTGTTTTCATATATATAATTAAGCCATGGTATGATTGGTGAGTTCACAAAAGTAGTTCACAGTGATGGAGACACTTCAGAGAGAGCATGGAGATAGAGCTCTACAGAATGGCTGGGAAAGGAGTTCGGGAGAGGACAGAAAAATCTCAAAGCCCAACAAAAAATATCTAGCAAATGAAGAGGAAGACAGTACCACACACCGGGGGTGGGGGTGGGGGGGAGATGGCATCATGCAAAGACAAGAATTACATTTTTTCCTTTCAATAAGATCATGAAGTATAGGAAACGACTTCAAAAGCCAAGAACCTCTCAAACATAGGAGAGTCGCCCATGAGCCCTGGAAGTTCTCGGAGGAAGAATGGGAAAACAAGGGTGTTTCCTCTGCAGAAAAGAGTAAGCATCAATAGGAGAAACTGAACCCAGAAGGGACTTCACCTCCCTGAAAGTATCTTCATCTCCCTGAAAGAGGGGGGATATGCAGCATCCATGGGAAATTTCAGCTTCTATGACCCAGTGATTGATTTATTGTATGTAATTTCTGTTCACAAAACGTATTTTCTAATAGATGTACAGGAAATGTGTTGAGGAGGCCATATCCATTGGAAAGATCTGTTCTGTATTATGGGGCTTCCCAGGTGGCTCAGTGGTAAAGAATCCTCCTGCCCATGCAGGAGACACAGGAGATGAGGATTTGACCCCTGGGTCAGGAAAATCCCCTGGAGGAGTAAATGGAGGAGTAAACCCACTCCAGTATTCTTGCCTGGAAAATTCCATGGACAGAGGAGCTTGGTGGGCTACAGTCCATGGGTCACAAAGAGTTGGTCACAACTGAGTACATACATAGGCATATTCCGTATTATGGACACCTACCTCCACCAAGTGCTGGGAAAAAGAAGAAAATCTGCCTCCATAAGAATCGCAGCCTATGAATCTAATTGACTGGAGAGTGTCACACTGATGTAGGGGCTATGCTCAACTGTGGCTAACCCAATAGGCATTTTTAAACATTTGCAGCACTGGGTTATATCCTTCTAAATGCCCAAAGCTATTATCCTTCTTTCTCATTTCCTCCTATCAAAAGAGAACAAGATCTTTTATCACATATCTCTCATGGAAAATAATGCAAAGCATTTACA